ACTAAGCGCCCAGACCAAGATGATACAATTACTTAAAAAAACAGGTCATTGGGATGCTTAAGGATGCTTTGTCAGCTTAGAACTAGTCTGCGGAAGTTACAGGTAGTGAGGGGTCAAAAATCGTTAATTTTAGGGGTAATTTTATTACGAATTATCGTACTGTACAGCATGTGAGCCTAAATCACGAGTGAATAGTGAATAAGCTCACTCTTTATTGGAAACACGTAGTTATACGACACTAAAGAGCATGTATACATTCGCAGGTTATGAGCAACAACAGACCTACCTCCACTGCTCATCAGCCTCCTCTTCCACAAAACCATCACTGCTGAGGCCCAAATCAGTGGCCCACACCGGCTCACGAAGCCATACCGATTGCTCGGGAAATCTGAGCAATATTTCATGATCAAATCAATTTTCGACAAGAGAACCAGTACCGGACCACGTAACATTCTACGAACCCCGAACACTGGTGTCAACACACCGAAATAAACAGAACCCTGCGGCGAATTCCGCTGCACATAAAACAGATTCCTTTCACTTCCTAATAGCTATTCATTAGAACAATCAACGATGCCACCTCCTCTCTCCAAAAGAAAGACTGGCAACAAAGGCCGACGCCCTGCAAAATCGCAAATCGGACGATTCCTTGTACAGACACCCTCACGACGATCGTCTAACCCAAGACTAACACTCAGCGGATACGATGGCAACATCCAAAGGGAAATTAGAGCACTACAACTGGTCTTCCCTAAACAATCCAATCCCACCATCTATGATAAGAGCCTGTTTCCTTTCAAACCACGGTATCCTCCTACCCCAATCAATTACACTTCACACCTTAGTGTAATACACACAACAGCCTTATCTGATACAGATAAAATCGTAGCACTTGGTGAAACACTCAAAGAACTCCTTCACCACAATCACTTCCGAATCCCTCCCCCATCCAACCTCCTAGACCGGTACCAATACAGTGCCGCCTTTCTAACCTACATGGATGATCTCCTTCCCCCTAACAAAGACACCCCGCCCGAGGAAATAACAACACGGCGGCAATCGAAAACACCAAGCCACTTGATTCGGAGCCCGGACCCACCATACAGCGACAAACTCCAACGCCTCTCTACTACTACGGGTGTGGATATCCCCCCCACCACACATCCTAGCAGCAATCCACAACTGGATAAGGATAATGAATCCACTGCTGGTAGCGATGCCAGGGGCGACGCCATTTCCCCCATTACGAAGGAAAACACCAGTCTTATTCAGGAAACAGTAAACCTCCCTGTTGAAACAGACACAAATACAGATGACGATTCATCCATGGAAGTGGCACCCACAGACCTCCAACAAAGATTTGCTCGCGAACGGCACCTAGCCAACACCAACGCCAACGATGACACCTCTACCACGATGACAGAACGCCTTGCCACTATGGATCGCACATATACTACCATTGACAATGAATTACAATCACTGACAAATGGTCTAGCTGGCCCTACAGACCCATCCTCCCCACCTGCTACGGCAATTGGTGTGGACCCAGCAATTGGTGTGGATCCAGACACAACAAACTGGAACCAAGAGCTCGCTACCATCCATACAGTAATCCAAAATATGCAACAGAAATTTGCGACCACGATCCAGGCCACTACCACAGAACTGGCTGATACACGTAACGAACTGTCTACCACCAAGGAAGCCCTCCAGCAAGCACAGGAAGCAGTCCGCACCCTACAGACCCGCATTGCCTCACTTTCACGAACGGACAGCCTCGAGCAAAACATAGAGGCTGCCGCCAACACCGCATGGGCCTTGGATCAACGCACTGCAAAGGCATCAACTGTCCTGGAATCAGTAATCAATGAAACTATTCATTTGAAACACCTGCGGGATGAAGCAAGCAGCATCACATCCAAAACATCCACTACAATCACTGCGGACATCACTCAAAAACTTAACTCAATCGTCGAACAGCGAGCCCATACCCTCCAACAACAAGGCAAAGATATTGAGAACCAGGTAATGGCAGCTGTACTTGAACAGACCAGGACCATGGAGGCTACCTTTGAGGAAACTATCCAGCACATCATCCAGAACAAATTGGAACACAAGAACCACATTGTTCAGAGCCTCAAAGACACTGTGGTTGCACAAGCCAAACGTGAAATAATGTCACAAGCCTCTGAGACGCTGACCCAACTGGACACCGACCTAACACACACCAAGACCAAGATGCA